AATAAAATATTGAGAAAAGTGCAATTGTTTTTAGAGAAAACTTGGTACAAGTGATCGTCGGAAAGAGTTAGTGATTTATGATATTATAATAATATTAATTATAATAACAATAATAATAATAAAAGTAAATTAATTAAAAAAAAAGATGAATACACAAATATGAGACAAATTATATTTATTTATAAGTATGACCTCTGTTTATCTATCAATACTTTTGGTACATCTTCACTTGAACTGCTGCTACTGCTACTAGACCTGCTAGTGTTTCTACTACTAACTGATCTACTACTACTTCTACTATCTAATCTACCTTTTCTCTTACTAACTGATCTACTTCTTCTGCTTTTAAATAATTTATTTTCTATCTCACTTTTATCTTTACTATTAGTAGCTCATGAGCTACTAGAGCTTAAGGATGATAATGATCTTTTCCTTCCTTTTCCTTTTCTAAATATAGCTGTGACTGCTTTCACAACTGCTTTTGCAATGAATTTCATATCCACTAATAATAGATTATTATTGTATTAATAATATATTAAAATTACCACCTTTTATAAACCTTATATTTTTTTCTTATGTTTATATAACTTCTTAGATATTTTAGCACCCATTTTACTGCTTTTGCTTTTGGCAAATGCTTTTTTTTACCCATGTTTTGATAAAATTTTAAGATAATAAAAAAATTAAAAGAATTATAATAATATTGACTATCTTATATATAAATCTTATCCTTATCATTCTAACATCCATTAATTAAATTAAAAATTACTTTATTAAATAAATGATTATATTAAATTAATTATCTTTTGAATAGAAGATATTTCTTAAACAGTTTACTCATTTATTGTTAAACAATAAAAAATTATATAAATATCACTATAATATTATAAATTAATAACAAATTACATTATATATAATATTGCTTTAATAATTACTGAATTTGGTAATTATACATTTTAGAAATTTTTTATTAATTCCTAATTACATTAAAAATAATATTTTCACTTGGAAGATTGGATGAAGATCTTAACAATTAACTAATTTGGTAACAATATGCTTTTGATGATTTTTTATTGTTAAATATGTAGAATAAAAATTAAATCATATAAAATTAATATCATTAATTAATCCCTAATTATATTAAAAAAATAATATACCTTTCACTTGAAAATATCTTAGAAGATATGCTTTTGAAATTATTAGTCAAATAGTAATAAACAATATCAAATTATATTAATTATAAAATCATATAAATATTGCTATTGTATTATATATTAAATGATTGATTACATTAAAAAATAGTTAACCTTCACTTGGTAGATATGTATATAATTCCAATAATTCAAATAAAAATAATTTGTTCTAATATTATTAATTAAAAATTACTTTATTAGAAAATTAATTATATCAAAGTATGCTTAGAAGATATTTAACAAACTGTAATATGATAATTAGATATTAGCATTGTTTACTTATATATAAAAAAGGAAAAATGTCGAATACCTGATAATACTTATTCATTTTGCTGCAATGTAGTTAATTGTTTCAAGTATTTTTTGAATTACTAAATCTGGTCTGACATTATATATATAAAATATTGCTATAATATATTTAGTTAGATAAATAGTTTTTTTTTTTTAATATTAATAGTGAGGCCATGCCTCTATCTTTATTGAATATTTAATTGAGATTTTTATATAAAGCATTAATCTACTTTTAAAAAATATAAAAAGAATAAAATCTCATACTAGTTTATCTGTGGCCTCAACCAACTGGAGTGGCTATGGCTCACCTAGGTTTGAGTATTAGTAATAATATAAGAGAGATTGGTTTGATATTTGATCCATTGTATATACCAAGAATTTATTTTTGAACTAATAGTAGTAAAGGGAATAGGTTGAGATAAGTGGGAAGTAGAATTTGGAGGTAAGTTATTAACAGAAGGGTGGGCTATTGATCTTGAAATACAATAAGGAATCCAAATTTTATAATAAACTTGTTGATTAAGGTATAGCAGAAATTTTATCACCAGTGTTGTTGCTATTTTTCGAGTTGATAGATTTGAAACAAGAGTAATAATCTCATCTGGCACTAGGCCAGATAGTGTTGAGAAGATTAATGGTGTGTCTAGTATACTGTGTATTGTTATACAGTATAATTGTTTAATCTGATTATATAGGTCAACTATAGTATTAGAGGTAGCATCAAAGGTAGTTATACTAAGAGTATGTTGTAATGAATTGTTTATAAGATTATATAGTAACTGGTTAGATGGACAGGTAATCTAATGAAGGTGAGAACTAGTATAGTGGCATTGATGACAGATAGGTAAATGTATATGGTTGCGTTTGTATAAATTGCGTGGTATAGGAAGTTTGTTTAATAATATATTGATTCTGAAAGACTTGAGAGCAGAAGATTGAAAACTGTGTATGAAGTTAGAAATTTTTTGATTGTTATTAATATATAGCCAGGTAGCTTGCCAATTGATTTGGTTAAAGATTTTATTCTATTTTTAAAAGCGGTTTTATGTTATCCATATTGCATAAATATGAGCATGACATATTGTACGAATATTTCAGCGAGTAGGTAACTCTAAGGCAAAGTTTTTAAAGGTTAGAGTATAAGCTGGATTGTATATATTATGAGGCATGAACATAAGATATGGCAGGTTGTAGTGGTTGCGTGCAAGTTGATCAGCAAGATTATTGTAGTTGTCATCTTGATGAGCAGTGACTTTGTGGAATAAGATATGTATATTGTAAGAATTAATAAAGTTTATAAGTATATTCCAAAGTGAGAAGTATAGTGTATGTGTATATGATAGGGTAGTAGGAGAATGTATAAGATTTTGATACTTAGAAATAACAGATTGATAATCAGTATATATATTTATAGTACAGTTTCTGGGAGCAGTAATTATAGCTGACAGAATGGCAACAAGTTCAGACATAAATGAGCAAGGTCAAAGTTTTGTCTGAGCATGAAATGTATATAGTATGGAGTTGATAAAGATTTGGACCCATCCAATACCCATAGAGTATTGTGAGGTTCCTAAATTAATGAAGGAACCATCAGTGTAGAAGTGAAGTTCTGTTAAATCAGCATTATAGTTGGCAATTTGTTGGAGATTGTATGTTGACAAGTTGGGTTCAAAAATTGTAGGAATTGAGTGTGTAGCAATGTGGATATTAGGTAGATTTGGAATTTGAGTAGGATGTCTAATTGCAATTGAGTATATAAGATCTAAGTAATTAGCATTAAAATTGAGAGTTTTGTTTAAGGTATTAACTCGGCCAAAGAATTGGGTTGCAAGATTAATTGGTATCATAATTATGCATTTGTTAGCAATGATCTGAGTGTTAAGAGGGCAGCCAGGGCATGTGTGTAATTGAATAGGTGAAAGAGAATAGAAATGAGTAAATTGTGACTCAATGTCACAATGCCAGTGGGTAATAAGGATGTTCTCTGATGATGAAGGTTGTCTTCTAACTTTATCAGCAATTACTTGATTGGCAAGTATTGTAATAAGCCAGGGCTTTTTCTGTAAAGAGAAATGTTCAGTTGTATAGCTATAATAGTTTGTGTCAGGTAGATAAAGATGTTGGTGAAGTGTGCGATTGGCATAGTGATTGGTAATTTGATCTTCTAAGTAAATAAACCAGAGTAGCTGTTTGCCTTTTGGAATTTTGTGTATATATAGAGAAATATGTTTTAAGTTTAATAAGCATAAATTGTCAAAGGTGGTAAGTTGGTCAAGATACAGGATATGATGATACCGGAGTTGTTTTTTAAAAGTTATATATTTAGAATATGAAGAAAACAGGGATTCTAAGGAGATAAAGCCCTCTTGAATAGTATATAGAATGTTGTATATTGGGTTATAAGTAAATGCTATACCAAGGTGTTTGAAAAGCTGAATGATTTTGAAATTAGTTGAGTGTTTGTTGAGTTCATCAATTTCAGAATTGTCATATATTAAGATACTAATAGGTGACTAAAGATTGTTCTGAAGTTGTTGAAGTCGAATACGGGTACTAATGTCAAGGAGATCATCAGAATTAAGTATTTTAGTAAAGTTTGTAATATGGTGTTGTAGTTGAATATCCCATATATTATGGATATTATATAATTGAGAGTGAAGTAATATGCTAGTAGGAATAGTATAGCTGAGTTTGGCTTTGCTTTTAACAAGTCCAATATGACTAGTAAGGATTTTGTTGTATATATTCTGACTAAGAACAATATTGTGAATGTGATATTCAATTGTAGGGATGATAACTGTATTGATGATATATCACGCATGTGTCAGTAATTTGTTTGGTACTTGAAATTTTAACAAGGTGTAATGACTCAGCTATAATAAGCTTAATCTGTTTTGTTTGTTTAAGGTTAAGTGTAAACCAATATCCAAGAAGCTTGAATAGTTGATTTGAAGGATGAAAATTGAGTACGTAGTTGTTATAAGTAATAGAGCTGTAGTTGGATGGAGGGTTATTAGTTGTGAGAATAGATTTAGAAGGGTTTATTTGAATATTAGCCATGTTATAAAAGGACTCTGCTATAGAAAGGATTTGTGAAAGCTCTTGTTGTGATAATGCAATCCAAAGTATATCATCCATATAAGCAAGAACTGAATAGTGTGAGTTAAGCTTGTCAAATGTTTTGTGTTTAAAATTAGTTAGCCAAGAAACTTGTATAGTATAACCTTTAAAGTTATTATGAATATATGAAATAAGTGGGTCATAATATATTCTCCATAGAAGATGAGTAATGGTTTCACCGGATCAATACCATTAAGTATAGGATATGAGGAGGTAAGACCAAAGTTTGTAATAACTTGATTTTGTCAATCAGTAGGAAGGTTAATAATAGTATTAGTAATAGAAGTAGGAAGGGCAAGATGCTGAAGTGACTGTTGGAGAAGAGCAAGGTTGACAGAATCATAGGCTTTGCTCATATCCTGAGATAAAAGCCAGATTGTTTTCTGGTTACATAGTGTATTCTCAATGAGGTTATTATATGCATTAGTAAAGGTCTAAGATGTTAAAAGAATAGAGTAGTCACTAAGTGTAGAGGTATGACTGTTATCGAGATTATATGAAAGAAAGAACTGAATATTAAAGGAGTCAGTCCAAATGTAGTCTATGCAACTTCGCTAGTATTGTTTGACCATGTGTAGTGTATATTATTAGTGTGTGCACCAAGATCATACATGTTAATGTGATGTAGATAATTAATAAGATGGTATTTAGATGATGTGCTAAAGATATTGTCATGTGTATTGAAATCACCAAGTATGATTGGATAAAGGTTGAGTTGAAGAGCTTGTTGGATCTATGTAATGACTATATTTTGTATTATATTATGCTTGTGCATATCTGTAGATGAGAGGTAAATGCATATAATGCGAAGCTTGATATCACTTTTAAAGAAAAGGTCAAGGAAGATTGCTTTACCAGAGTGTGTTTGGCAATTATAAATGTGAGGTTTGAGGTAATTGTGGACCATAATGGCAGCATCTTCTGCTGAGCTATCTGAGTTAGCCCAAAAGTAAGTGAACAGGTTGTTATTACAAAAGTGAAGATTATTGTTGTTAGCAATTTTTGTTTCAGTAATACAGGCAATATGGATTTTATTATGAAGGCAGTA